TGCGTCTTATATGCCGGAGCGTCTTATATGGCGAAAAATACGGTATAGCCTTATATCTAACTGAGGGAGATAATGCAAATAGAGGTCCAAGAGTGACAAGTGATAGTAAGAGTAACCCCAGCCACAATGGCAGGGCTAGTCTGAGGTATTTCACTGCCTGGAGGCAAACAACAAAGTAGCAAGACAGAACATTTCATTTTCAGGAGCAAAGTGAACTGACAGTTGAATTTTTACTTCAGTGCTGGAAACTGGACAGTACTCCCCACTACCTCTGAAAGCAAGACAGGCCATGTGAAACACACAGTTTTGTCATTCAATAATGAGGTAGGACAAAGGAACTCAAGAAAAATGGTTGAAGGGTTGCCACTCTGCCCCCAGTATCTGCTGCATGAGGCAAGTGGCTTATTTTCCTACCTGTAGGCTAGGTCAACCTGATAGTTTATCTTACATAATGCTAAATGTTAAATCATAATGCTAAATGCATAATGCTAAATCATGGTAAACCTTGGGTTCACACACTTCTTGCCTTTTTGTATTGTAATGTGCTCCAGAGGGTATTCAAACACAGGCAAATGGAGCAGCCTTGCTGTCTGTTATTGACATATCTGCTGCATATGGCCTCCAAAAGGTGTACATTTGGCAGGAGAGTCCACAACCATTATTATTATTATTATTATTATTATTATTATTATTAAACTTTATTTCTAGAGCGCTGTAATTATACACAGCGCTGTACAAAGCAAAAAAGTTACAAATATAAAAAAGCCTGCCCACGGCGTACACTCTAAGAAATAAAATAAATAGATAAACAAATTACCAAATAGAGGAAAAAATTAAAAAATCAAATATCAAACAAATCAAATGACATCAAATCACAACACAATTAACATTATCAGAACAATTACCAGATTATCAAACAGCCAGATAACAGTCACAAAATTTATGAGGAGGAGGGGGCCTAAGTGTAAGAATCTGCATGCAATGTGGAATAAACAAACCAAGCATGCCAGGTTGTGACTTAAGAGTAAAACTTACTTTCAAATGACCATTTGTTGAGTTCAGAATACAAATCTTCTATTTCTCCATTCTGGTTACAAAGGATGTCCATTTGTTTCATAAAATCTGCTAGAACCTACAAAAGGAATTAATTCCAAATATTGGTAAAAAATTAAAATGTACATTGTTCACTTAAACAGATATAGATACGTATATAATTAGATTATCTGCAACACAGGTATATAATTGTTGGGAAATAAAATGAAAATAAAACTGAATATCATCATGCCTTTGTACAAATTTGATATTTGTAATACTGTGTAAAGTTTAACTCATCTCAAAAACATAATTAAAAAGATACTGTAGACTCAGGAAAGGTCGCCCAAAGGACCAAGGTGTTAAATAACTCTCGTATTGTCTCCTTAGTTTAGGGTAAAGGGAGCATGATAGAAGTTTATAAAATTAGGCATGGTATGGAGAAAAGGCATAAGGCTGACATTAATGGAATTAATGGGGTCATCCAAAGAAGCTGAGTGGTGGGAGATTCAGAAAAGATAAAAAGAAGAATGTGATCACATAGTATGTAACTATCTGCTACCACAATATGTACTGATGGCTGTTAACTTGTATGCCTCTAGAATGAGATTACATAAATTCAGGAAAAATAAGAGTCCATTAATACCAGTGGGTGGCAGTATGGACCAGAGGCTCCTATTGCATTCATGTCCTTCTTGTGGAAGAGCCACTGTAGCATAGTGGTATGAGTGTTATACTATGACTGTGGAAACCTGGGTTCAATTCCCAGCTCAGCCATGAAATCCACTAGGTGACCTTGGGCAAGTCATACTTTCTCAGCCTCAAGGGAAGGCAATGGCAAACCTCCTCTGAACAAATCTTGCCAAGAAAACCCCACGATAGGTTCACCTTAGGCTTGCCATAAGTCAGAAGTGACTTGACGACACACAACAATAACAACCTGCTTCTATAAGTATCTGGTTGGTGGAATGCTGCACAAAATGGGTTTCAGGTCTAATCCTATGCACCTGTTATGTTCTACTTTATTTAAAAAAAGGTGTACTGAGCAAGAGCAATGGCTAAGATTTACACAAAAATCCAGTTTGTTAGTACTGATGGTTTTGCATGCCAGACAGGGATTCTCATATCATTCTGATTCTCACATCTCACTAACTCCACCTATAATGCTCTCAGGGACAAATGAGGTGCCACTATGCAGAAACTCCTATTGGCATCAATCAAAGGAGGGAAAAGTTTTAATTGGGACCAGTGGTGGGACCCCTCTCCCATAGCTTATGTCATCTCCTGTTTAATCTACTTTTTCTAAAAATTAAACAAATTGGGAAATTGTAAAATGCCCAGTTTGGCCCTTAGTCTCAAATCCTTTAGTTACAAAGAGCCTCAAACACAGAGAAGTGGGAATTATGCAACTCTTCAGAAGTTGTTAAACTGCAACTGCCTGCATTCCTCACCATCGGTTATGCTGTCTAGGTATGCTGAGAGTTGCAGTTCAGTAGCATCTAGATTCCAGAGGGCTGCAGGGATAATTTCCCAGCTCATCACTTTCTAAAGCAGTATGTCTAGGTAATTTGTTGTTATGTGCCTTCAAGTCATTTCCAACTGACAAACCTATCACAGGGTTTTCTTGGCAAGATTTGTTTACAGTGGGTTTGTCTTTGCCTTTGAGGCTGAGAGTGTGTGACTTGTCCAAGGTCACCCAGTAGGTTTCCTTGGTTGAGCAGGGATTTAAACCCATATCTCCAGAATTCAAAGCTCAAACCACACTGGCTCTTCTAACTAGGTAATACAAGCCTTCAATTACAACTATATTCTGATCAAATCAATATCAGATTTTACGATATTTTTATCACAAAATCTTTTTTACAAAGATTTAGACATTAAATACAAGTCATTATGCATTACCTCATTGATTTTGGTATCAAGTTTAACTATTTCTGTGGGCTTCATTAATTTCTTCTGAAATGCACTTCTTACTCTCTGCCAGTCTTTCCCTTCCCTATGTGAAATAAAAATGGAAAGAATTAAAGGAGAACATAAAGGAGAACATTTGCTGTATTAAACAATTGTAAATATGTCTATTCTTATATATCTGTTCCAGAAAAACTACAGATTCTGACATTTTTCTCATCTTAAATTAATATGGAGTGAGAGGAAAGGACATTGGGATTTTTTTTTAAAAAAAAGTTGTTAAATCTCAGGAAATGCAGCTCTTTGGGTTTTGCAGTTTACTAGTAAATGCTAAAATGATAACATATAGCGAGGATATTTAGGAAATGCAAAAAGTAGGTTTGGACATGTGAAAACAATGGGCATGCTTTCATGTATTACTTGTCAGATAGTGTTCTGCCCTTTCTGTTGGCTGGAGTGTGCATTTTATGTAAAAATGTCTCTTTTGTTTATACCTATAATTTTTTCGACTCTCACTATTATATATATAGTTTGGTGACAAAGATGCTTAACCCCAAAGATGTTTTTAAATGGGTTGCTGCTTTAAAAAATTTTTTTGCTTACAGTGTAAATGTAAAAAGCCTCCCTTGGCCGGAAGCAATGTTTGATTTCTCTTCCAGGATCAAACCTTGATTTAATAACATTCATACATGGCACAAACAGGGCAAGAGACTCAAGTCTATGACACTGTTGTTTTAGCTGCAAAAAGAGCACTGAATTTAGTTTGGCTCAGAGTAGCTTTTTTTTTTTTTTTTTTTTTAAATCGGATTTACAAGCCTAGGAAATCCACTCTTAACACCAGCTAGAAAGTTACCTTGTGGACTAGAAGTCCCAGAATCCCCAGCCGCTGAGCTGGATTCTGAGAGCTATAATTCAGAAATAATTGTTCTAAGCCTACAGTGCAACAGCAGGCCAATCTAGTCAGAGAGAATTTTGGGATGCATAGGAATATCAGCATAAAACACTGTGTGTCATCCTTCCTTCCAACATCTACAAATCCCATCACCAGCTATGCCCCTGCATCTCTCCTTACTCACAGGATAAGGAGCCCATAGCCCTCTTTACGGTAATCCCGGTAAGCTTTCCAGGGTTTGATCTCTAGACGCTGTGGGTAGGCACTCTCTTTCCTGTAGAGAGCCTCAAGCAAGCAGGGTGCACCAATGTGTACTGAGTCAAAAGCGCCTAGCTTCATTCGGAAGATCTTGCCAAACTTGCGGTGGTAATCCGCCTACAGTGTAAGAGAGAAGAAAAGGAAGGTTAAGGATAAGCACCAATACACCTGCATTGCCAGAGTTTTGCCTAAGTCTGAATCAGAGCTGCTCCACTTAGAGAGATTAGCTTGCCCACTTTTCTTGCAGAGTTAAGGGATGTTAAATACTGCAAGTCTATACATTTGCAATTCAGCATCCCCTCTGACTTCTACAAATGATTTCAAAGCACATGCCTTGTACATATAATGGATGGAGTAAATTCATTTTTCCCCTACTGCTCCATAAGGCACAATCCACATTACAAAATCATCAAATAGTAGAGTGGGAAGGGACTAGATCAAAGAAAAAAGTGCATAGGCAGGCTTAATGTTGAACACATAGAAAACAAAAATAATGACCATTGAGGACCTTCACAAGTTCAACCT